TTTATGTTATTCCTATATAGTATCATTAGTTTTTTCATCATAAACAATTGTAATTTCAAAAGCTCTCGTAATGATCATAAATCAACATAGCTATTACATAGTAAGGTATTTAATGGCTAAACTATTGAATAGCTGTAACTTGAAGGTTTATGTAGGCATTTTGGAGTTAGAATGAGTGGAGACCACTTAACAAATGTTGTATTGAAGGCTTCCAAGTAAAAAGCATTTTACATTTCTTTGGAGGCATGGCTTTCATGCATAAAAAATAAAGCAGTTTTGATATTTAACTCACATTCCCAATGCAGTCAAAACCATGAACATGATCTCCTTTGAATTCCCCCTGAGAAAGTTTCATCATCTCTACAAACTGTTTCATTCTAGGGATCTGGAGTTTTGCAGGACTAAACTGAGTGTCTTCCTCTTTCTCTTCCTCCCTCTCCCAGTCTCCAGGAAAATGAAAGTTTCCTCATGGTTTGTACTCAGTTCTCACATCCCCTTGTGGTGGGTGTCATGCCCGGTCAAGGGTGGGAAGAAACCTTTGACATCTTAAACATGTGCTGCTTGGCACATAGTAGGTGCTTGAGAAATGTTTTGTTAGAACTGAACTAAACTTTAGGAACAGTACCAACGTTTCAAAAAAGTCTTGCTCCCTTGAGACCCCCAACCTTTCTTTCTTGTCCTTTTCCATCTCAGTGACTCCAAAAGACTCTCCCTATGTCTTGCTCTCATCTTTCTGATTCATCAAGACCTGAGCTCTGTGGCCATCTTTCCCATTCAGGTGGAAAGGCCTAACAAGAGTCCTGCTTCTGTGCAAAGAAATCACATCAAAGCCTTCACACTAAAGGATGAAATCTGCAACAGGCCCCCCTGGGAGCTTTAGGAAGCCCAGCAAATGTTCTCCTGGGCTGCTATATGTCAGGTGACAATCTTATGGTTGGGAGCATTCTTTTGTTTGTTTGTTTGTTTCTGACAAAGGTGAGCATTTCATCAGGCAAAGCTTTGGTTACTTATTACCACCAATATTAGACTTGGCTGTGGGAATTTTGAGTGCTCACATCTTGTTTCACTTAATTATTTTTGAGACTACTATTTTTGGAGACAGATGCAATCCCTAGGTTTGAATCCAGTTGAGTCATCTAGTAATGTGAGTTGAGTATGAACAATGAAAGAAGGGAAGAATTTATAATTCATTTCCTCCCCTGCTCTAGGAGGTGATGAAATAAAGCATTCTCTTCTCATGGAGTACACAAGGTTAATCACAGTGCCTACTTTCCTTGTGGTAGGGATGATTCAAGCTAAGTAAATTATTTCCCGTTTAATAATATTAAAATGTTAATGCTAAATGGATAATATAAATGATTAATATTAAATTATTAACTATTAAATAATTCTTAATATTACTTAAGAGCAATATTTTATAGTAATAACTACCTACCTACCATATGTCAGATACTATACTCTAATGCTCTTCAAAATTCATTCCATTTTTAGAAGAATCACATAACAACTACAGTTCACAGATGAAGAAACCGTATCTCAGAAAGGTTAGGTACCTTACCCAAAGACACACAGCTAGTAGAAGACCTGTCACAAATTAAACCAGGGATGTCTGTCTTGAAAACCCCGATTCTGGCAATGACACTGGAGGCTCCTTTTTATTGATTAAAAAAGAAAAAAAAGAAAAAAGACTGAAGTCCATCTAAATTAGCTAAGAATTCTGGCAGAGTGGGTTCATTTCATTCTCACCCTCTCTCCCGTCTTCCATGCATTCTCTTTATCACTGCTTATTTGCCCACAGGTCAAAGGCCCTTTTCTCATTACTTTGGTGAAAGTGGCCCTCCACCTCCTGGTGAAAACTCTGGGAGACTTGGTGCTATTTTAAAATGTCTTTAAAATTCAACTTTAACTCAACTTAGCATTTAAAATATACTTTGCAGCTCAAGTCTTTGTTATAGGTACTGTACAAAAAGAAAAATTTGAAAATTATTTACTATGTTTCTTAAGCTTATGAGCATATATATTTTGACATGTCTCTTAATGGACTCAAGAAGACCTCAAATTCTTACAGCAGTTGGGGGAGGAGGACATTTTTACTCAAGAGCCAAACTAATTTATCTTAAAAATAGGTGATTTAGGTACTGTTTGAAAGTGTGGTATTCTGTTGCATGCTTATGACTTCACTGGACAATTGATTTGTAGTAAATGCTCTCAAATGTTTGAAAAGTCCTGAGAGTTTCCCAATAAAGTGGGAGGTTCTGCATTTGATGGTGCACCAGGGCCACCATCATATTTTCATTGTTACCCTATTTTTAGGAATAATGCCGTGTGTTCCATTAGAACACTTGTCCCCAGGTAGTCAGAATGGACAGAAGAACTTTCACCAGCTCATTTCTGACCTTCGCCCAGAAATGCTTTCAAGAGGAAGTTGCAGTTCAGTTTTTCCGAGTTAGCATTTCCAGCCTCGTGGCTCCCCAGATTATCGGGCTGCTCTAAAGCCTAAAAAGGGATACCGGAAGAAAAATCGGAAGAAAAAAGGGGAAGTCACTGAATGTGCCCTAGCAAATGAGCCTTGCTTTCAGGCAGCTGTGGCTGGGAAGCCTTTGTTTAATATTCAGAGTGTATATGGGGGTGGGGGTGGGGGGGGGTGTTTTAGAAATTTTACTGTTTTTAAGGAGGCAGGCAGTCAATTTTCCATTTCAACCACACATACATGCAAAACTCAGATTCTTGCAAAGAGGCAACCAGCTACTATTTAAAATGTTTTAAACGGAATTCAGATGGCTCTTTTCCCTTCCGAGTCTGTGTGCCAAATGACAGAAACCAATACTCATCTTCCTTTCCCCCAAACCCAGGAGGACACATGAAAGAACCTAGAAACGTATTCCTTAAAGGAATTCGGACATTTCCTTTAAATAATTTATATACGCACATACGTATATAGTCCCCGTGTGCATTTCCCCCCTTTTTACTCGTGTGAAAGCAGCAGCTACAATAACTGAGATCCACATCCTCAGACTGTGACATTTCAGCAGGTCTTGCACTGAGAAGCCAAAATGCCTGGAGCTGCTCAAGCTGTCTCCCTCTCTCTTATCCACGGGCTCACAGCTCCTGCCCAGCGCCTCGCCGAGCGCGCTCCCGTAAAAGTTGCCCATCTTGTTAGCCCGGGTCTGAGTTTGCACGAGTGAGTCACGGAGGAGACACGATGTGCTACGGAGGCCAATGACCTGAAATCGTGGCCGCAATCTGCTCTTTCCTCCGCACTGACTCGCACCGCTCCCCTGTTATCTAGGATTCCTTTTTTTTTGGGGGGGGGGGGGGGACAGCAAGTACTCAGACAACCCCTGGGATGTTGACTATGAGCTTCTCCTTGAAATGTTTTTCCGATTCCGTAATCCGTTGGCTAGAAGCGCGACAGGACAGGACTACCAGGTTCTCTCCACCGCCGCCAGCCACTACACCTAGCGGCGGCTGGGTGCGCCAGAAATGGGCGGGTAGATGAAAAGATACCGCACCCACATACCTCCTTTCTCCTTTCTGCGGGATGCCAGTTGCGCGTTGCGGTCTTTGTCCGCTCGCCCTTCAGCGGGGGCCGCGCACTTCCGAGGATGGCCAGCAGGTGGCGCAGTTGGTTCACGCTGAGCCGCTGCCAGGGAAGGCTCTTCCACCTCCCGGAGGTCGCCCTCCCTCTGGGACCCAGGCTCCGGAGGAAAACCCGGCCCAATCCCCGAGGGAGCAAGAGCAGGCGCGGCCTGGCAGAAAGGAGGGAGAGATGCCTCATCTGAGAACGGGACCCCTGCAAACGTCTGGAGAAATGCACCGAGCCGCGTTGGGGTCCAATTCCCGGGCTACTTTGCTATCTCAGGACGGCGCTCAGGTGGCTGTGCCTGCGGCCAGAGTTTGGGGGACCGATCAGGGCCAAATGGCGCCTGCGCCCCCGGGGAGTCAACAGTGACACCGGGGCACGTCGGCACGTCGGCAGGGGCAGATGAGCAGATTTCTGCGGGTCCCGCTGCCCACCAGCGTCTCCCGGGGCAGGGAGAACTGTCGGGCGGAGCGCAGAGTTGGCACAGCCGCTCCGGGCAGCTTCCGAGTTCCCATTTGCGAAGTCCGGTCAGCAGTGGGCCACCACATTCCCACCTAAGCCCTTGGCTTCTATTCCCCGCGTCTGGGACTTGCCAGGTCCCGTTCCAGGGACTCCCCACGGGAAACACACAGTTGGCTCCCTGCCGGCAGGGCCATCCCGGAGCGCCTTGCCGCGGTGGGGAGTCAGGACCGGGGTGAGCCCCCAGGCGTGAGCGCAGAGATGGGGCCAAAGGGGCTTCTCCGTCGCTGGGAAGTCATTCGTTCCGCTTCAGAGCGGAGACAGTGACTGAGCCCAGGCGCCGCACTAGACGACGGGGACCGATCAGGTCGCTCTCCAGGCATCTAGGGGGTCTGGGGAATGGGGTCAATCAAGCCATAGAATCCCCTCCAAAGAGCATTTCATAAAGAGATGCGCAATAAAGACACGAAATAGGGCAGGGTAGCAGAGGGAGGCTGTGCCGGGCTCAGGAGTGCGTGTGCAGCCCCAGCCCCGGCGCACGGGACCAAAACGCTTCGACCCTCAGGAAAGAGCAACAGCAAAGAGGCTGGCCAACTTTATACTTATTTTATTACAATAAAAGGACCTTTGCCTCCTTCTCAACCCGTCGTAGGGGGAAGAGGGAATTGCCAACCTTTCCTCGGGCTCCCCCCCAACCAATTCAGAGACTTTCTAAGCTCCCTCCCCGGCCCAGGGGCTGGACCCCTGAGGTGAGGTCTGGGGACCCCGTCGCCTCCCTCGGCGGGGGCGGGGACCCACGCCAATCTTGCCCCCTCCAGCCCCGGGAGCCCCGAGGGGCGGGAACTCAAGGCGGGCTCGGCTCCGTGGGGGCGGGGCCAGGCCGCCGGGTCTACGCCACTATTGGCCGCGGGCCCCGGACTGGCGGGTGGGCGTCACGGGCCGGGCCCACCCCCTTGGCAATGTCTTCAGCCTGCTGCACTCCTAACTTAAGCATTTATTCCACTGGGATAGAAGCGGTAGGAGCAGCGTTGGCACCGGCGAACCATGGCTGGGATTTTCTATTTCGTCCTCTTTTCGTTTCTCTTTGGGACTTGCAACGCTGTCACCGGTTCCAGGGTGTACCCCGCGAACGAAGGTAAGAGTGGGGCGGCTTTTCTGCTGTCGGGGACAGAGAGGGGACGATCCGCGGGTGATTTTTTCCTGGGGAGCGTGAGGCCGGCAAGTGTGGGGGAGTGGGGGGGCGGAGAGGACGGGGATCCCCGCGTGAGCAGTGCTCTCAGACTCGAGAGAAAGGAGCCGGGGAGAGGGGATCCGCCGAGAGGAGGCACGGGGAGGCCGAGTGTCCTGACCCGGGCGGTGACCCGTGCCTGCGGCGAGACTGCCCAAGTTTGTAGCAAAAGGACAAAGTTTGTCAGCATCCGCCGCGAGGCCAGTTCGAAGCGCCCCGAGGGGATACACGGGAGCCGACGCTAGGATTAAACATATTAATTCTGTGGCCCAAGCCCTCGCTACCACCACTCCCTCACCCAGCCCCAGTCGACGGGAGAACGGAAGCCTGGAGCCCGGAGAGGGCTGGGTGCTCCCGGGCTCTTAGGGAAGCCGTGCGAGCAGTGGTTTCTGCCAAGTTTCCCGAGCCCTGCGCTTCCCGGGACCGGGCTGCGGAGCCTCCGCTGCGCAGCAGGAGCGGTGCGGCTCGCCGGCTGCCGGTGACCTGATTTCTAGCATCCGGCGTCAGTCACCTTTCTTCTCGCTGGGCTCCGGCTCCCCGAGGTGCGATCGCAGGTCTAAGGGGCCCACGCTCCTCAGATCACCCCGCAGACCTGGGCAACCCGCCGGCAAGTTAAACGGACTCGAGTTTTGCTTTTTGCCCCAGAACTGTGCACTGGGTTAGTTTGGGGAGAACGTGCGGAACGACTGGACGCGTCTCAGCGCTCGGTGTTCGGCGCGTCTGTTCGGACGCTGGAAGGATTGTGTGTCTGTGTCGGGGAGGTAGGGGTTGATCATGTAGTTTCTGATGATCTCAGAGAAAAGCGAGTTGGGTGTGCGTGTGTGTGTGCGTGTATGTGCGTGTGTGCATGCGCGCGAGGGCAAATGCGTGTTTGTGGCGCGTGGGTGCCCGCGTGGAGGTGGAGGATTGTGTTTCTGTGCGCGAGTGGCCTGTTGGTGCGCGCGTGTGTTCCGGCGAATGCTTGTACTCGAGCCTGCGTTCATCTAGCCTTGCATCTGTCTCGCCTACTTTTTCACCCCTCCCTACCCCTCACCTCCCCCATTCCATCCGTCCATTCATCCATCCAGCCAGCCATCCAGCCAGCCAGCTAGCCAGCTCTTCATTCGCCCATCCCTCCGGATCCGTCCCTCCATCCCTGTACAGTCTATCATTTTTCCTGTTCCGAAGGAGGGAGCCAAAACCCAACTTAGCCTTGGCTGGGCAGCCGGTACCCAGAGTTCGCCAGACGAAGGCTCGGATAGATTCGCACACCTGCCGGCAGACACTGCTTGCGAGAAAAGGGGCGCTCTCTCACCCTCCCTCTCTCCTCCCTCCTTCCGACCTGGGTCCAGATGCCCCTGCGGCTCCTTGGTCCCCAGGGTCAGTTCTCTTCTCTGAAGCTGGATCCCGCGTTCCGCTGGCTACTTGGCGCGCTTGTTAGGACGTCCCCTAAGACCTCACTGCACCAGATGCAGGGAATTTCTTTGCACCCATTTCTTGCTTTTTCTTTTGAAAGCAAAACTTGGGAGCCCTAGACACAAAAAGGTGCGGATGGAGCCATAGGCTGATGTAGAAAGGGGGGGGGAGGAGTCACCCCCCTCTCGAACTCCTCCTCCCCCTTAAAAAATAATTCATTTTGTTGCTTTTTATTCCCATCACGTTTCCTTTTCTCCCTTTTACCCTCCCTTTCTACTCCCTCCCTTTTTTTGTAAATTGGGTCTTATTGTTCCCTTTGTGTCCCTAATCCACCTTACATAAATCCAAATGGATGTAGCGGGCTTTTCTCTAGGGACCCAGAAGAGAGAATGAGGCCGGTGGTGGGGGTGCAACTCCGGGCGGGAGAGACCCAGGGAAGGCTCTACACTTTAAAATAATTAACAGATCCCAGGAATTCAGGCTTTTGGGGGAAACCAGGAGAAAGAGGCAGATTTTAACTCCTTGACTTCGTGGTGAAATGAGAGGGGACATGGTCAGAATACAGAGGCCTGGGGGTGAGAAGGGGAGTTGGGGTGCGCCAGAGCCAAGGGGAAGGCTTCCTCTTCCCACCCCTCCCCCAGCCCGAGGAGCCAGCCTCGCCGATCAAATTAATAACCCAGTGGTTCCTTTGAGATGGGCCTTTCGACCCGCAGGCCTGCGGATCTCGGTGGGAAAGAGAACGTGGAGAGAGAGGTTAGGAATTGACTGCGTCCTTTTCAGTGTCCGAGGTGCCTAGGCCTGCTCCTGCCTGGGCGGGGCTCAGCAGCTCCTAGGCTCCCGATTCCTAATCTTCGATGCACACGCTTAGGTGTAACACTAGCACACTAACTCCACTGCATACCTAAAATTCAAATCAGTGATTTCCTCTTGGGTGGAGGAGGAGTCTCTGTTTGTCCTCTAAAAGACCCGGGGAAGAGAATCATTCAGTTCATTTGCATTCTAATTCTACGAGTCTGCCATCTCTCCCACCCCCACCCCACTTTGAAACTTTGATATTTAAAAAAGCAGCGGATACCACCACCAAGGCCGATTTATTTGGTGATGGAGAGGGGGAAAGTGGTCGGGGAGAGAGCCTTTTCCTGACCCTTTGAGCACTCTCAGATAGAATTCACTTGTGGCTCTGTCACCATGATGATGAGTTATGCGGTCATCTGAAACTTGTAAAAACAAATAACTCCAGTAGACACCAGACAGAGATGAATGCAGATTTTGCTCTGGAGTGCAACTGCCCTACATAGATATATTTATTTTTTGAATTGTACTTGAGATTCTCTATTCATCCTTTTTAGAAAATGAATCAACTGAGTCCTGGGATGGAATTTTAAATGCTCAGCAAGTTAAATAAATAAGAACTTGCAGATTTAAAGAGGGGAGAAGATCAAGTGAGTAATGATTATTTACATAAGTGAGACCAAGTTTAGGTTTGATCAGAGTTGGATATGCGCACCCTCAGCACATATGGAAACGCTCAGGCAAATGGTTTTTGTAGTATTGGCTTTTGCAATTGGAAATTAATCTATTTTTCTTTTCCTTTTTGTAGTTACCTTATTGGATTCCAGATCCGTTCAGGGAGAACTTGGGTGGATAGCGAGCCCTCTGGAAGGAGGGGTAAGTTCCGAGTGGCTCTCTGCTCCGAAGGGTAAAAAGGGAGTGATTAGCAACTTTCTGAAAGTCCTAATGGCTTGATTCTTGTTGATTGTGGTGAGGGGGTCAGATTTCCGCCATGGCCTATGAAGTGAATTACGCTTTGTTGCAGAAATCCTATACTCCCCTTGGATAGGTCTGTCATGGTAGAACTAGAAACCAAAAGGGCAGAAAGGGTTTTCAAAATTAGGAGATCAGTAGAGGCATCGACTTAGATGCCTATTTAAAACTAAAATACCAACAAAAAAGGCAATCTGGAGACCTAATTAGAACTGATGCCTACGTCACTGTGATGGCCATGAAGTCCTGACTGGGTTCATGTTAGAGCAACTGTCCTGTTTCCAGGTGAGGAAAATGAATAAATAAAGATACTGGGGAGAAAGCCCTTCTCTTTGTCCCAGTCACAAGTTCAGTTCTGTGCACAAGCTAAGCTGCAGGAGCTCCTTACCTTGCTGTCAGGACCACCTTAAGGCAGCTGCTGCCCTCTTGCACACTGAAAGCCTTACGAACTCGTGCCCCCTACACAGTACATGCAGCAAGCATCAAAGCTTGAGCATCGTTGGGGCTAAATGTGAAAAGTTTAAGTATTTGGAGTCTTGGATCTTTGGTGCTGGAGAGGCTGCATTACAAGCATGAGAGAGAATGCACTGCTCATTTCTTCTAGAATTTGCCATCACTGCCTCCATTGGAAGATTAAGAGACTAGAAATAGGTCAATGGACACATTGTCTCACCTCAACCTTACCCCTTAATAACAGGTCAAAATGAATTCGTTTTGGGGGAAAAAAAATCAGTACAATATGTATCTCTGGTTTCTGCCAAATTGACATAACTCTCAGGTTTTTAAAAAATTATGCATATCAGCCCTCCTTTGCATTTTTTATAATCTATGACTAAGTCAAATGATTAAAAACAGTAGAGATGAAAGGAAGATTGAGTCTTTATCAGGCAAAAATTGTAATGCCAGCACCGACTATGGTGCTTCAACCATTGCATAAGCAATAAAAGATGAAAAGAAAATAAAGATGCATAGAAACTGTTATAGAAGATGGGTTTCAAAAATAAGATAAGAAACAATCATGAAAATGGAGAATTTTAGGATTTTTCCAAAGTAGTTCTCATAATCCATTTAAATGATACGGAGATTGCCCTGCCTTCCTGTTTTTTCTGCCTGAACTTGACTGTATTTAGTTGAGTCCCTGCTGAAAAATTCCAGTCTGCTCTCAAAACCATTTTTTTAAAGGGAGAGAGAATGATTGGCAGGCTTCTGGCAGTGTAGACAGGCTGTATTCACCGCTGATTGCAGGCAATTGCCCTCATCCTTTGAATGCGAAGAAAGGTACAGCTTTATCTTGTGAGAGTCAGACTCTTGTTAATCCTATACCCTGGAAAGGTCACTGATTCAGGAAGACTTTCCCATGCTACACTAGAGCTATTGCTCTGTAGGTTGAATGTATTAGAACTGTATGCTCAATTGAGGATGGAAGGTATCAGTACTTGCATTAAAAATTTTTAATGAGCCTTATTTTTCTTGCTAGTTGCTCTTAAGCTTGAAGAGAGAATGCATCAAGTATGACTTTGGATCTGACTTGTTAACACTAAATATACATGGACCTATTAAAAGCAAGGAGTGACACTTTTTTTTTTTTTTTTAGTACAGTCTATGGTCTATCTAGTTTCTGGAAAGCTTTTACTGCAATTTAATATGCTGTAGACTCCACACCCCACCCCCATCCCCCGAATTGCTGAAAAAGCACCTGGTCACTTTTTCTAGACACAAAACTTTTCTTGGTTGTCTTGAAGTCTTTTAAAAAATAATATTATGCATACTGATTATTGTATAAAACCCAGACTTTTATGGGCTGAGTGGAAATAGTGTTTTCCTTTCCTTAAATATTATGTATGTAGCATTGTAAGTATTATTGTGAGAGGTTAGAAATGAAATTTTACTTGTGCATAAGAAAAATAGTCTTTCCAAAATATATACCAGGTAGTAGCCATTGAGATATTAGGTACCAAATTATAAAATGTAATTAATCTCTAGATTTTATATTTGAAGAGGATTTATCAGGCTTAGAGTGACGGATGAATTGGAAGTCTACTGAGTAGGAATAGATTGGCTTCAAAAGTTCTTTTTAGCTGAGGGGGGGGAGTATATTTGAGTCTTTTGATTATTTTGAGACATCTTTGCTGGAAACTTTGGATTACAGTTTTGTCCAATAATGACCTTTATTTATTGTTGTTGCTGTTATTTTTAAAAAGAAAACTTATTTGACAATACAGTCAGAAACAACTCTCCTGTTTTTCCATCAGAACAACTAAACATGAAAATAATGGAAAATGATGGCTCCTGATGGCAATATTAGAGCAAAAACCTAATTTCTTGGCGGTGCTCATTTAAAGGAGTATATTGGGTTTCTGACATTGATTGTAAAATACAAAACTAAGGGGAGATTTGTCATTGTTCTGGTGAATTGATCAGTGTGTTTAAACAATCAAATTCAGGCTGGAGAATTCACAGTGCATCTGAATTATCCTGTATAAATTTTGTGGAGCTATCCCTATGTACTTTCATTTACATTGATAAATGTGTTTTGCCATATTTTCTTTGTTCTGAGAAGAGAAACATGCTTAGTAGGTTTTTTTGTTTTGTTTTATTTTTGAAGATGGGGATCTATTTTTGCACTTACGTGAATTTCCCCAAATAAGTAAATTACTGGTGATTTATTAATGGGTAAAAAGAAATTTTAATCATGACAGGGTACTTGTCCCTCCCAGTTCCAACTTTCATAATGGTAGTAGATGAAAGGGATAGAGGATTTTATGCATTATGGCCCTTCATATAGTAACATTTCCATCCATTAACAGTTCTTCAATGCACAGATGGGAAACCCGCTAAAAGATACAGTATGATTCTATGTACTCATATTTTTGGATGGAGGCTTAAGTGGAGCTATTATACAATATACATTTCTTAAACTCTTTTTTTCTTTTAATTATATTCATGTGTTAGATATTTAAGCTGACTTATACCAGATCTACATAAATGCATCACTGCAGATATTAATGAAGAGCTCTGTAGGATCCCCCAAACAGTCTTGCTCCTTTTATGATTATTTTTTCAAAGGCGAGAGTGAAATGACCACTTTAGTCATAGTGAATTCAGACTGTCCCACTATGAGAATCTTTGTTAGGAAGTAGATTGCAACTCTACCATCCTTTTTAAATTTCTTGAGCTTTTAATCACAAATGCTACTTACTATTTTGCTTTCAATACCCTCAGAGTATTTAGAAGCAAAGTATGTATGTGTTCTTGTTTACTTATGTGCGTATGTTTTAAAAATAAGAACAATATAAACATTTAATTGAATGCATGCTCTTGAAAAGTGTCCTACCATTACAAATGACAGCATATTTGAGAAATCCAACCAGAAAGTTTACTCTCTGCCTTCCCAGGATTACCAAAACCAGAATGGTGAGATTTTCTTTCCCCCTTTAAAGAGTAGTGACAGTGCCAAAAGAAAAGAAAAAAAATCCACTGACATTTTTTTAGGTATTAGAGAGCAAAGTTCTGACAGGAGCACCACTAATTAACTGATAATTGTCTTCCTTTGGCAAGCTTTCCTCTTCCTGCTCTTAATTTGCAGGTCTCTGTTCAGTTGTTGAAACAATACACATACTAGTTTTTCATTTATGAGTAAATTTGAACTGTTGCCACTTGAAATTGTAGCTGTTGTAATAGGTGAAATTGAGGTTGTTAGACCACCACAAGGAACTGCTGAGAACTCCTAAGTAATAAATCCACCATTGCCTCTGGATTAAAGGCAAAGGCATGAAACAATTTTTAAAAAGCAAAAATACTTCTGCAATAAAATACTGTCTTGTCTTCTCCATAACAGGCTTTATCTGTGAGGACTGGTGCTCAGTAGTTTTGAAAAAAAGTAATAATAATTGAAGTTGTATGAGAGTAAAATAGGGTTGACAGATCCTTGTGTGATGAAATGTTGTGATTGATACGTTTTCTTCGGATCTTTGCAGTGGGAGGAAGTGAGTATTATGGATGAAAAAAATACACCCATCCGAACCTACCAAGTGTGCAACGTGATGGAACCCAGCCAGAATAACTGGCTCCGAACTGACTGGATCACCCGAGAAGGAGCTCAAAGGGTGTACATTGAGATCAAGTTCACCTTGAGGGACTGCAATAGTCTTCCAGGCGTCATGGGGACTTGCAAGGAGACGTTTAACCTGTACTACTATGAATCGGACAACGACAAGGAGCGTTTTATCCGAGAGAGCCAGTTTGCCAAGATCGACACCATCGCCGCTGATGAGAGCTTCACCCAAGTGGACATCGGCGACCGAATCATGAAGCTGAACACTGAGGTCCGAGATGTAGGGCCACTGAGCAAAAAGGGGTTTTACCTGGCTTTTCAGGATGTGGGCGCCTGCATTGCCCTGGTGTCTGTCCGCGTGTTCTACAAGAAGTGTCCGCTCACAGTGCGCAATCTGGCCCAGTTTCCAGACACCATCACGGGGGCTGATACGTCTTCTCTGGTGGAAGTCCGCGGCTCCTGTGTCAACAACTCAGAAGAGAAGGATGTGCCAAAAATGTACTGCGGGGCAGATGGTGAATGGCTGGTACCCATTGGCAACTGCCTCTGCAATGCTGGGCATGAAGAGCGGAATGGAGAATGCCAAGGTAAGACGAGCCATATTGTACTTTTCATTAGGGCTCAGTGCACATAATTAAATCAGAGATGCGACTGAATGGAGTAGAGCCAGTAATTAGCAGCCCCTGTGGGATGTGGTGGGACAGAGGGGTCTAATGAGTAAGTGCTGTAGCTCCAGGTGGCAAGGCTGGGCCGGTTCTGATGCTGACAATGTAAATGATGCTGCCATAATCAGCAGAAGGCCAAACATATTTGCTATCGGGCACTTAGATCTGAACTGGCTTGATGTGCCCTCGGAAATGTAAATGATCAAGCTGAAGAAATGAGATTGATGGATCCTTCTTTAAAGAGGGTGGACAGATGTTCAAACCATAGTATAGACTTGGTAAAAATGGTAAATATCTCTGGTTGTGTGTATATGTACATAAACAATTTACATGTGAAATATGAATTGTGTTATTTCAAATCTCTGAAGCTGTGTGGGGAATGTCCAGTGTCCCCTGCCTTTTGGAGTGACAGTGTTTCGAGTGCATTTGTTCCACTGAGCACCCATCGACAGGGTCCCTAAGAGAAATTAATCTTGATGAAAGACCTTTCTTTCCCCCAGGAGGTGATAAGGAACTAGCAAGAGTCTTCTTATTTCATCTGTGGTCAGAGGCGATATTAAATTGTGAGCTATTTGGTTATTGAGTGTTTGAAGAAATCTTGATGTTTTTATCATGTTAATTTCTATGCAGCATATGTTTTTTTCCTCACCTAAAATAGAGTGTATGCAGTTCCTTCTTCCCTTATGTCCCCTTTTTCTGTCAGAATACTGAGGAATTTTTTAAGTTTTTTTTTTTTTAAAGCCTTGTTTCTGAGTAAGGGATGAGAGTAATTCATTTGTATATGGATTGCTCATGTCATGTGTAGCTTAAGGCTTTAAAAAAATCAGTTATCCAAGGTTTTTATTTTTGCTTGGTATTTATTTTTAGTGGTTATCAATAGTTTGCTGCTGCCAATCTCATTATGATTAGTACTAAAGAGTGTAACTCTGGTCCTATCTAGGCAACAGATCAGATTAATCTTTTCTCGGGGTGATTGTTGAGCTGTAGGCTGTATTGCCCATGGTTCACCTGATTTGGTGATTAAAGAGCCTGAAATAACTGCCTGCCAAACAATTTGTCTGGCATTTCAACCATCTTAATGACACGGTGGGATTAACTATGTATGGGGCAATCCACTCGACGGACTGGAAATCAACTATAATAACCTAGAAAAATTACAGTTTTGATAATTCGGTGTCATAGATTTATGGTTTCATAGTTTATACATTTCTAAAGTGTCATTCTTGATTTGCTTGCAGTTATTTTTTGGAGTAGCTAACAATGAATGTCTTTTAACTTCATTGTAAATAAAACAGAATAAAGGCTGACTACCATTTCTGTTGACCTAGCGTGAAAAGGTAAATTTGTAAACTAGAAAATTTGTAAGTTGTAATTTAAAGGCGGCTTTTGCCATTTTGTTTGCTGTTGACTTAGCAGCTATAAGATAACCTGTACCAAAGTGAAACTGTGAAGTATATTCTAATACCAATTTTTGAAAGTATATGAGTGCATTGTTATTGGCATGTGGATTATAATAATCATAGAAGGAATAGTGAAATGAACTGGGTGATGACACCACATCACATTTTAGAGTAAATTATTCTGCCTTTTCTATTTTTCTAAGACAGACTATGCACATCTTCACATGTCAAGATTTTTATATATATTTAAAATATATATTGTCTTCCATTTCCTACTCAAATGGTCACATGGCTGGCATTAGAATCTCTCTGTATTAATGTCATTGATTTTCAATTGTCACAGAGCCCAGTAATTCATAGGTTGCTTCATTGTGAAACTCCTTGACAGTTTTACAACCCAAATTAGAAGGAAAAGAGAAAAAGATGGAGGGGGAAATGAATGTAAAGTCAATTGAACAAGTTAGTGGTTTGTTTTATGGAAATAATCTTGGGACTCTAGTTAATCATGTAGTTCATGGGAAGGGAGGGGCTCCAAGTTTTAGGTCTAGTTCATTTCTGAGCAAACTGTTCTTCACACAGGGTCAGATATTTAATGGAATGGGAAGATTGGTTGAGTCATTTTTGAGAATCTTTGGTATTTCCACACCTGCTCTTCATGTATTTCCTTTGCTAAGCATAAAGTGATTAACTCGCCCTAGCTGGTTTGGCTCAATGGATAGAACATCGGCCTGCGGACTGGAGAGTTCCAGGTTCCTATTCCAGTCAAGGGCACATGCCCGGGTTGCAGGTTTGATCCCCAGTAGGGGGCATGCAAGAGGCACCTGATCAATGATTATTCTCATCATTGATGTTTCTATTTCTCCCTCTCCCTACCTCTCTGAAATCAATAAAAATATATATTTTAAAAAGTTTTAAAAAATAAAGTGATTAACTCTTTAAGAAGATACTTTTTTTTGCACAAAACCTTGTACTTTGTTGCTTTTTTTTTGGTTTTGATTCTTCTAGTAAGAATCTCTGATGAATTTAGGAAGAAAGGAAAAACTTGGATGACAAAGGATTCTTAAAATTCCAAACTTGAGTGAGACTTTTTAAAGACTGCAAAAGTCTTAGGAGTAATAAAAATGGTTGTCTCCATCCTTGACATTATTACTGGGGTGTCAGAGAAACATCCAAGTGAAGCTGAAGGAACATCAAGACAAGGAAATGTGTCTCAATTTGGTCACTAAGCTGTATGACCTTGAGCATGTTTTTTAGGCCCTCTGAGCCATGGTTTGTTTATCTGTAAAATGGGTTGATAATAATTATACCATCTTCTTGACTTGCCATGAGGACATGGTGTTGTTAGATCTAAAAATCACCTTTTAGATCATAAAGTATGAAACTGATATAAATGCTAGCATTTTTTTTTAATCCTTCTGCTCTTCCCAAGTCATAGCTGATGACTTTTAAAGGTGTTGTTGAGCTGACGTAGTAAAAGGGTATTCATCTCCCAGTCACTCTTGGAAGTCAAGGCTAAAGAGAGAAGGCATTGATTGCCCTTTCCCTAACAAAGAATAATGTCCATTTTCACACTTCATATTGCAAATGATATTTGGAGAGTGTCAGGGTTTTTTGTTGTTGTTGTTGTTTTGTTGTCTTTGTTTGTCCCTGAAGGAAAGAGAACTTTCCTTTGAGTGAGAGAAAAGTGATTAGGGGGTGGGACAAGAAAGAGGAGGTGTGAAGAGAGCTTAAGAAGGGATATAATGGAGAATTGGCAAGGCTTCAGAACTCTGGCAGCAGGTTCCTCCCCAATTGTCTTTCCAATGGGTATACTGTGGCAGGACAAATAGAAGACCAGGTGAAAGGTCACCTACTTCCTCATCCATCTTCCTCAGGGTCTGAGAGGTCAGAGTGAAGATTGATTAAGATCTTAAATGTTTGACAAAGGATCCCTGGCCAAAAATGGGCCAGGCGGGTGGGGGCCTGGGGTGTGCTGTTGTTTAAATCTAACCCTGGTCATCTGCCAGAGTCCTCAAGGGACTGGAGACAGAACTACACTTCCTCTTAGAGTTCTTACTTCCAAGCGGTACATGCTAATGGAGACGTGAAGAGCTGCCTCAAAAGTGTCCAGTGGCAGGGTGATGGTGGGCTTGCTCTCTGAAGCAGCTGCAAGTTCATTGTGCTCCTGAATACCATTTTCTGAAATGATTTGGCTCAGTCTCAGCAGGACAACAAAGAGTGTTAGTCACTCATCTGCCCTCTTCAGGAGAAGGGCGCAGTTGTTTGAACTTGCCTAGTGATTGGGTGCAGAGGATGAGAAAGTATTTGAATTAGTCTAGTCACCCATCCACCTCACATGGTCAGAAAAAGAAATAAAATCACATCAGGCACCCCCTCTCCCCAACACACACAGCCATTCCCCTCGGTGAGGGAATCTGCCAGATGTTTCACAGGGCTGTTTTCCTTTCCTCAGAAATATTAAGCAGAAGGCAGACAGGAAAGGATTCTTTATGACCTTATTTTTTGCTTAATTGAAAAGCTGAAAAATAAAAGCTACAGATTTACTCTTTGTGAAATATTAATAAGCAATATTTTCAGAGAATATATAGAAAAATGAAACGAATAAAAAGAAAACTTTATTAGAGTCACTCTTAAGGACAAGGAAGTGGTCACAACTGTGACAAAATTCAGCCAGGTAGAAATCAAGCCTTGCTGAAATATACACTTTTGCATAAATTGTTTGGGGTTATACATCTCTAGGATCTATATTATATATCATTACATATATATGATGCCTTTATATCAGCAAAAGGTATCTTGTTAAAAGCTTTTTTGAGAAAGAACAAGACAAATGCTTTGATGGCTGTGAGATAGAAATATTTCAAATTTGTCCTCTGAAAAGAGCGCTGTGGTTACAAAAAAATCATGATGACTTTGTTTTCCTAAGAACCTCAGGAGAAAGAAGTACTGAAAAGAAAGCATTTAAAATATAATTCAGAAGAGACACTGTTTTCTTTTACCTTTGAATCGTGTCTTTAAGAATCAATTGCTTGAATCGCATGGCTGCCTTTGTCCTGGCTTTGAAGCATGGCTGTGGCTATGATGATTGAAAGATGCAATTCTTTATATATGAGAAGAACAGAGTTTAATTATTGTCTTTTTTTTTTCTGTTGTGCTTTTTTATTTCTCCTGCTTCATGTGACCCAGCTTCTTTTTTAGTGTGAATGAGGCAATGGTCTCTATTTTGGGTTCACCAAAGCATCACACAGGCATTAACTCAGTTAGGGATTTTTGACTATGCTATTTAGGATTTGATGATTTATTTTAGTCTAACTGAGCTTCCCTGCACCTTTCAAAAAACAAATTAAGACATAATTCTTTTTTTAACACTTGATGCTTTAGGAAAAAGACTGATTAAATAGCTTTCCAGCTACCACTGTGCAAAACAGAGGCAGTTGTGATATGTTTGACTTTCACATCATTGAACTTTGCTACTTAAGGGTGTGTGTGTTTTGTTTTTAATTGATGAATTTAACATTACTAAAGAACTGCATACTTAACTCTTACTCAAACTTTTTCAAGTTCTTCTTTTTGTTAATCCTCCCCTGAGGATATTTTTTCCATTGATCTTTTTAGAGAGTGGAAGAGAAGGAAAGACAGAGAGAAATATCAATGAGAGAGAAACACATAGATTGGTTTGCCTCCTGCATGCACCCTAACCATGGCCTGGGCCAGGGAGGAGCCTGCAACCAAGGTATGTGCCCTTGACCGGAATCAAACCTGGGACCCTTTGGTCTGAAGGTCCACACTCTATCCACTGAGCCAAACTGGCTAGGGCTTACTCAAACTTTTTATGAGTTACCACTTTTCACAATTTGACAAGTAACCCAAATATGTCTTTATGCATTTATTTAAAAAAAATAACAAGTGGAATTATTCTCTTAGTTGTCTTGATTTTAGGATGCTTGACTATCACATTAGAGAATATAACTTTCCTTCATTCTTCATAATTGATGATTAAAATTCTATAGAGAAAATATCATACTTTTTTTTTCACTTATTGGTAGATGTTTAGGTTATCTTAGTTTTTCCTGGTAATATTTTTAAACAAACACTTTAATTTGTAAATCATATCTTTATACATGTGTTAAGATGTTGAATGATTAAGCTTGCTTTGTTATTTT